TCTGGCCAACCCAAGAGATTTCCAGGTTCCAGTCGCTTGGTACGAGGATCGCCAAGTAGCCACAGGTTACACCGTCATCAACAAGTACCAAGGAAAGCTCTTCGCCTGCCAACAGGTGTTTTTTTTTTATGTGACATCTCAGTTGGTGTGTGTCAGTACGCCCACATGTACACAGGCACTATATGGCACACTTGCCCTATTACCCTGTTTAGGTTTGTGCTCGCTTCAGTAAACACCATCGAACCGCGACAATGACTAACAGGAAACCGTCCAAGTGAAGCATATGATCCATTAGCTGCTCCTGCCGATTGAATTGCCATCCCTGATGATTTAATATCGAAGTGTTAGCTGTTACCCATTCAGCAGGTTTCCGCCTCGGCTCCCTTATGAGCCTTAATCACTCATAATTAGTTAAGGCATTCTGGAGTTACAGACAGTGTACCTGTGAAGCTTCGTTTTGTAGGAAAAACCTTTCCCAAGTTAAGCATTAATTTCACCATATTTCACTCGGGGAATGATCCCGCCCCTCTCGAAATGTCCTGATGGGCGCATAATTGGATCGACACATAATGTCTGACAGGAGGTGTTTTTTTTTTCTACAGAGACAGGGAGGAGGTGGGAGGAGAGGTTTGTCATGGGCGGGGGTTGGGTAGGTCGTAACCGTGGAAACCATGTCAAACCACACTGTTATTATTCATTGTATGAAGTACACAAGGGCAAGATATTGTCTTTTTTATAGCGAAAAACATGTTTCCATCTCCCTCGCTGCCTCCACTTGAGTATCCGCCCCCTGTTACATGCTCGGTGTCAGAGGTGGAGGCTGCTGGCTGCACCTGACACTCTTTTCCTGGTGTCCACCCTTCCCCGAGCCAGGAGGGTGAGGCTACAGGGGTAGGAAAATAAGGTGGGGGACGCGGGCCTCAGGGAAGATGCTGCTGCTCCCGTCTGGTCCTGCTGTTTTGTTCCCCCGCAGAGTGCTGAAATTGCTCAAATTAACTTATTATTTGCTTGACTGGGCCAATATGTTTGTGTTTTGTGTGCATGTGTGTGCAAGTGCTTGCTCTCCTCCATTTTTCCCTCAATTTTAATCGAATGTAGTGGAGTTACCGCAGATGAATGTCCAAGAGATTACCTGCACTGGGTTTCCCAAAGGCCTCTTTGTATGGTAACTACTGTAAATCATGTGTGGTTAAGGTATTTTTTGGTGTTTATTAGTCATGTAATGTGAATGAATTTACTTGCGCATGTGACTGTGTATGCATATGTGTTTTATTGTTTGTGTGCGCTCGCTGCTCACGGGTGCAAGTGTACGTGAGCGTGTGTGCGAGGAGCACGGAGGTCACTCAGGAGGCAGCCTGAGTTGTAATGAACTATATTGATTTTAGAGCTGCTGTTGAATGTCTTTTTTCGCAGTGGCATTATCAGAACAGAGAAACTATATGAAATTGCTGTGGTTTTAACAATCAAGATAAAGAAATATCTCTGCACCCACTGTTGCTGCCGCTCCCTCCTCCCATAACTGCGCCCGCCACAAGCGTCAAAATGCTCAAAGTTTGGGAAAGTTTGATTGTGAAGCCAATTACCCCATAATACCTGGAGCCTCATATCACAAAGAACAGGGGGAATGAAAGAGAAGAAAGAATGAAAGAAGCACACCCTCTTTCACAATCAACCCTTTTCATTACGACCAGTTTTTTTCTCTTTATGTCAAGAAGTACTCTCTCTGGGAATTTAAGATTACAAAGACATTATTCATTATTCCTTTTTCCCTGTGAAAAGCTCAATTTAAAGTCTATTGTGTTTGTTGCTTGGGCAGACTCGTCTTATTTGTTTGGCTCTGTGATCTGCTTGTAGGATTTTTCTCCATTCAATGTGGTAGCTTGGCACGGGAACTACACACCTTACAAATATAACCTGGAGAACTTCATGGTTATCAATGCTGTGGCCTTTGACCACGCGGTGAGAGACACTCCAAAATACTGCATTCCTTTTGATATACATACGAGAAATGAACTGCCTTTGACGTTAATTGCACTCATTCATCTTCCTTTAGGATCCATCTATCTTCACTGTGCTGACTGCCAAATCCACGCGACCAGGTGTGGCCATCGCTGACTTTGTCATCTTCCCCCCGCGGTGGGGTGTGGCCGACCACACCTTCCGTCCACCGTACTATCACCGTCAGTCCACGATAACGCACATTCTTTTGTTCAACTCTAAAGTGGTTTGTTCTCATTTTGCAGAGGAAGGAGAGGAAGACTTAAAAAAAAGGCAGAGACAATGAATTTTGACAACTAGGTTGCTGAGATGGAGATGAAATTGAATCCTAATTTGAATGGAAATGTCAAATTCTGTCTAGTGAGACTCATTTTAGTCCATCATGAAATGAAACAAGCCAGCCAGAAGCTAACATGTCCATTTACCCAACCAGTTTCAAGACAGCAGGTGATAACAATCCACCTGCTTTATGACTCTTTTCAGCTGAAGCATCCACAGCGCCTTTTGTCTGCTTTCACTGTGGCTCTGTAAGGCCATCTGGTGGAGATCAGTATTACAGCCTCCCTGTTACACAGCAGCACAGTGTTGTGTTACAGCTCCTCCTGCTTGTCTCTTTAGGTAACTGCATGAGTGAGTTCATGGGTCTGATCAAAGGCCACTATGAGGCCAAAGAGGAGGGTTTCCAGCCGGGCGGGGGCAGCCTCCACAGCATTATGACCCCACACGGACCGGACGCTGATTGCTTTGAAAAGAACAGCACTGCTAAGCTTGAACCTGAGAGGGTGGCCGAGGGAACCATGGTAAAGAAAACTAAAAACTTTCAAGGTCAACTTTTTGAAACAGGTTGAATGTGACCACTGATAATATCTGTCATGTATTTCTCTCACTCAGGCTTTCATGTTTGAGTCGTCCTTCAGTATGGCCGTCACCAAGTGGGGTCTACAGACATGCCAGAGACTCGACAAGAGCTACTACCACTGCTGGGAACCTCTCCGCAGCCACTTTAATCCCAAATGGAAGCCCAGCAAACAGTAGAGCAACAATGTGACTCAGAAGGAATTTCAACCAAATATAGTTGTTATACACAAAAAATGTAATTTCACTTCATTTAATATCACTGCAAGCAATTTAATGCTCGAGGAACTTGGCTTCCTTTGTGTTGTTTGATTATGTCTGTTGCCGGCATTACAGAGAGAATAAAGTCATTTATTTTATGCAGACAACTAAGATTGGAATTGCACAATAAAAACAAAGATGACAAAGATTTGCTGGTCGTCGTGTTAGAAATAAAAAACACAATGAGGCTGCATAAATTCAGTGTGTCTACAGGTCCTTAAAAAGTCTTAGATTCAGATTCAGACCCTGTGGGTTTACTCCAGGTACTCCAGCTTCCTCCCACAGTCCAAAGACATCCAAGTTAATTGGTGACGCTAAATTGTCAGTAGGTGTGAATGTGAGTGTGAATGGTTGTCTGTCTCTATGTGTCAGCCCTGTGATAGTCTGGTGACCTGTCCAGGGTGTACCCTGCCTCTCACCCAGTGTCAGTTGGGATAGGCTCCAGCCCACTCGTGACCCCCAACAGGATAAGCAGTTATGGAAAATGAATGGATTTTTTTTTGTGTCTATCTCCTGCTTTAGTTTGACAGTTTGGAGATTAAAGGGAACACCACCTAAATTAAGAATTCTAATATTTCGCTTTCATGGCCCAGGATTATTCAGTCAATATTTGTCAACACGAGCCAATCTCTCTCAAAACCAGACACCAGAGAAGTAAGCCTCAAACTTGTGATGTCATTGGGTATAAAGTCTGGAACTGCTCCACAAACAATCAATGGGAGCCTGATCTTGTGGACCCACAGATTGTTTTTTCCTTTATACCCAAGTGAGCTTTATTCTGTTGTAGTGGTCTCAGTTTTGAAACAGAAAATGTACCCATATAGACTAAATTCCATGACCTTGTGCTAACACTTCCAGGTAGACAACGGGTAATTGTTTTAAATTGCAGAGATATGTGAAGTCGGCAAAGTTGTTAATTTCTGTTGTCACTTTCAGCTGTAACATTTAAAGGTGTATAGTTAAACACGATGGTCAGACCTATCAGACGTTTCTGCTGTGCTTGTTTCATGTAATGTGTTGCTAGCATCTTTGATAAACCAAATCTACAAGCACAGAAGCTCAGCAATGTACTGCCATGGATGGGGGCTGCAGCAAAACATGTTTTAGACACCTAAAAAACCTGTATCTGTTCAGGTGTACGCTATATTAAGTATATTTGCAATGCAGCAACTCCTGTGTTCTAAAATGCCTATTTTTTCCAACGGAGTCCAGTTATTTTGTTCATGAGCAAGAAAATCAGCCTGTTTAGGAGTTTTGTTGTTAGCCTTGGTCAGTAAAGGAAATGGATGATAGTTATGCTTAAGATAACAGTCAGGTTAGCAGAAAGCCTAAAAGAGGCATCGAGGTCAGGCTACTTGACCTTTGTTATGAATGCACTCCATCTATGATCTCCTAGTTGTGGCGCAGGAGGTACAGCTAACCAGGTAAGGGTGCCTAGTCAGCTCTGTTGCCACAGCCTCCAAGGTTAAGGGGAAGGGAGGTTGTACTATGTTCCTGGCTCAACAGAAGACAGTCTTTTTAGATATGTGCATTTTGTAGGAAACAGTCGAGGTGATTTAGATCAAGCAAGGTGAATGTGCTTGTTGTTTGAAGTTGGTAACCAATAGAACCGTCACAAAGCCATACATCAGACCAGAATAACCTTACTTGGGAACGTGGAGTAACTGGCAAAGGAATTCTGTTTGGGGTAAATGCAATAACGGGGCAAGGATGTGGTGAGGCTCACCACCCCTCTGTCTATTGGTTAACATGCCAAACTAAAACTTGTGCAGTGTCCCTACCTTGGTCTGTGGTCATGTAACTTGTGCACACATTTATAATATCATACAATGCCATGTGTTTTCCCACCATTCACACTTCTGCCTCACCATTAAAAAACACATAACTGTTTTTGACAATATAATTTTATTCGGTTTTTAATAATTACACACACTGGCATCACCAGAACATACAGGAGGTCTTTATACATCAGAGCTCATGATGACAAAGCGTACTTGCGCTCGAGGGTTCCGGCCTTAATCTGCTCCTCCCTCTTGTCCTGTGCAAAAGATGACACACAGATGATGGGTTAATATAGTTTCCATGGCAACAAAGTCATATCACCCTCTTCACCTTCCGGACATTTTTCTCAACTGCATGTTTTATGAGTGAGCGCTTTGTGATTGTCAGGTTATTTTTCCCCCTCTCCCAGTGGAAAGAGGGAGACGAACATGATAGCCCAGCAGTGCGACAATTGCACCAAATTTTCATTTGAATTCCTATTGGCAGAGATTTGGAGGGTGAATCACCATGACAATGGGGAGGAAAATGAAAGCAAGCAGCATTTCAAATGAAGCATTCATTTCTAATGTGAATGGAGCTGTGACAAAAAAGATCAACTGCACACCTACGTGGGAATAATGAGGCCCAATCCTCAAGCAAAAAGCTTTTCAGATCTGTGATGCCATAATGACCAATTATTCAATTTTAGGATTGTTTCAGACAACTATTCTTGTGAATGGATTATCAGTGTTTTTAGCTGGCTAAAGAAATTGATATTAGTGTTATAACACAGTAAAATTACATCATGTGTTCTCATTCCAAAGCTTTGTTGTTTATGGCATTATATCTACTACAATCATTGACATTTTGACCACCAGTCTGGCACTGAGGATTGTCAATAGAGTAGCAGATAGATGCAATGAAAAGACAGCAGTAGGGGCTGTAAATGAAGCTCATACACCTGCAGCAGAGTGGCACTCACTGAGAATAATTACTTTAACCTGCAACAATATTTGGCTGTGAATAAATGTGTGCAGACATAAACATGTCCTACTGTATCTTTAGTACACAGGCCGCTTGGGGGGCCACAGGTGAGATGTGTCATTCATTTAACACTGATAAACAAGCAAAGAGAGGTCAGTGCATCTTGATCCATACCCTGTCTGTCTTGAAGATGTAATAAAGGGCGAAGAGAGGGAAAACTCCAAACATGACACCCAGCAGAGATGTCTTGAATGTGGGCCTGAAGGTTGCGTAGGGGTTGGCGCGAGCATACACCCAGCGTGTCAAGGCAGGGTCTTCCTGTATAGACAGAAGTATGCAATGAAATCTCAAAGACTGTTTTGTACACACTGAATCCTTGCCGTCAAGAGACAAATGCAAGGAAAAACAATAATTTACTACAACAAAGATACGAGGACTTTAAGGTTGATGTCATGCTAAAACAAAACTGTTGTGAGCTCTCTTTGTCTCAAAAAGCTTTACAATACATCAGCCTACAGTACAACACCCTCTATCCTAAAGTCCTCCATTTATTTACAAGAGTAAAAGGGAAAAACCCGAGGAGGGATCCCTCTTCAAGGACAGGCCTTTTTCACGTACTGCATTTTGAAATGTCAACAATAAAAAATTTACAAGTGTAAATAATAAAATCAATGATAGCAGCAAGGGGGTTCCTGGTCAGAACCCTGTGGTGGGGGAGCCCTTCTGTGCAGAATTAGCATGTTCTCCTCATGTCAGCGTGGGTTTTCTCCAGGTACTCCAGCTTCCTCCCACAGTCCAAAGACATGCAGATTAATTGGTGACTCTAAATTGTCCGTAGGTGTGAATGTGAGTGTGAATGGTTATCTGTCTAGTCTGGTGACCTGTCCAGGGTGTACCCTGCCTCTCGTCTAATGTCAGCTGGGATAGGTGCATGCTGTTTCGCGACTCCTAACAGGATAAGCGGTTATGTAAAATGAATGAATAAATGAATTATGTTTACCTGCTTGAATTTAAGGGTCCTGGTACTGTGCCTGCTGGCTTGGTTTAACAAAACTGAGCTTTCATTAATGTAATAAGTAACACATGTGCCTTTCTTACTATGACGAGCAAAAAACATTGGCTGTGAAAAAGCCCACAGAATGGACAGATATAGCAGTAACAGAGCTACAATATGGAGAAGAAGTAATTTAAGTACATGTACTAAGTAAATATTGAATATGACAAGTTAAGGAGTTTCAGGGACAGAGAACAATTGTATATTTGTGTTACATGGGACATATTTTGACCAGCTGGATGTCAATTAGGAGAGGACACCTGCACACTGCTAACAAATGATCCACTGCAGTTTGACTGATTGAAGCTCGAAGGGCTGGGGTCAATTTAGCTGCACGGTCGGTTGAACAGAATAGACAGGTATGTGGCAATTATCTCTTTTGTGATAGCAGCAATGTCATTTGGTGTTTATTTAGTCTATCTATAGCACATGGCAACACTGTAGCACTTCAGGAGGGGTTTACTTTAAACATAATTTAAGCTAGGCTACAACATACTTTATATTGTCGATGATATTTTCTTTCTGTGGTGTAAGTTAGACTCTAAATTTTCATTCCATCCAGCCCCCCGTTTACACAACATACATATAAACATGCCACCCTAAGCTTGATACCAAAATACTTAAGTAAAACTGGGTTTTTATGACATGGGCTCGGACATGCTAGCGTTAGCAGCGAGCCTCAGCCAGTCTCAAGGGTGACATTGCTAGCTAGCATGTAGCCACTTACAATGAGCTCTTGTCTGTGCGGGTTGTTGAGTTGCGTCTGGTACTGCCTCTTCAGGTTGGCTCGTAGTGCTGCCCTGTCTTCTTCGGCGCGACGGTGCTCCGGCGAGATGCTGAAATACTCATTTGGGTCCAGTGTTTTTGGCCGAGAAGCCAAGGGCGCCTCTTTGTAGTCCGCCATGATTGTTTGCTAACGGATGGAGCGAGGCGAACGCGAACTCGTGAAATCTCGCGTTGAGTGGCGGGATCGTCACCATAGCAACATTAAACTTTTCCCTGCTGAATGTGAGCAAGTGAAGCAATGAGCGGAAGAAAACAAGAGAAAGATGAGAGTGATGATGACTTTCAGTATGAGGAAGTGTCTTTAGAGGATGAGTGGAGTTTGACAGAAGGGGAGGAAGATTTGGAGGCGACGGTGAAAGCTATCCAAGACCGCGCAGAGGCCACTGCTGCTGCGGGTGCTGCTCCCAGGCCCACCGCCACCTCCATCACACACCAACCTGAAGCTGTGGATGACTTTTTACGCAACTTTCTTTCACAAATGAGTATGACAGAAACACTCGAATGTTTCCAGACTGAGTGGACCGAGATGGTGCAGAAAGGGCAGGTGGATACAGACCGGGTTGGTGTCGTACCGGAAGTGTACACTGAAAACCAGCGTCTGGAGAGTGAGCTGAAAAACGCGCAGCGGGAGGGGGATGAGTACAGACTGGCAGCCGCTGCAGGAGCTGAGACACTGCTCAGGGTCCTGAGAAACAGAGACTTCCACCGGCTGCGACACAAGCGTGTGGTCCAGGAGAAAACCCGGCTCATCGAGGAGATGAGGAGGCTGAAGATGCAGTGCAGCACCTATGAACCTGAAGTGAAGCGGTTGAATGAGAAATACCAAGCCGCTTTAAAGCAGACCATGCTGCTGACTATGGAGAGAGATAAAGCCTTGGGACAGGCAGCTCAACACAACATCTCTTCCTGGAAGGATGCAGGTGAAGAAGGAGCGGTGAGCAGTGTCAACATGGCAACCCATCAAGGGATCCAACCAAGACCTCCTACACCTGCACATGCTCCAAGGAGTCAGACCAGGGTGAAGTCAGGGAGGGCAAATGCTTGTTGAAATTAATATTTGGTCTCACATGTATGCTGTTAGTACAGTAATCATATCTGGTATTGATTTTGAGTAACTCAATACACAACATGGAAGATATATATAAAAACCATACATTTTCTTTGACCATATTTCCTAATCTTGCTTGATATACGACATTAGTTACTCAACAGTCCAAGGTCTCCTTTGTCTCATTTTGTGCTTAATAATGGTCCACACATGTTAAATGCTGGCAGTACAGTCAAGTGCCTGCACTCTTATACTACAAAGCCATGCTGTTGTAACATGCAGATTGTGTCTCATTGTCTCACTGAAATAAGCAGGGGCGTCCCTGTAAAAGACGTTGCCTGGATGGCAGCATATGTTGCTTTAGAACCTGTGTCTTAAGGCAGTCATGGCGCCTTTACAGATGTGAGAATTACCAGTGATGCCATGGGCACTAACATAAGGGGTGCCGTTTGTAAAGTGGCTCACGCTGAAAATAACATCAACATTTTGCCACATTTAGCTTCAAACAATGTTTAAAAAAGTATTGTGAATTTTTTAACGTCACCTTTTACCACATTTACAGCAATATTTGTTAACTTAGAAATATATTAAATAGTTAAATCTAAATATTAAATGTGGCACCTAAATGCTAAATGTTAAATCTAAATATTAAATCTAAATCTAAATGTTAAATCTAAATGCTAAATATAAATCTAAATGTTAAATCTAAATGTTCTGGGTGAAACTAAATATTTAGCTAATATGCAAATTCACTAACACACCTCCGTCCCAACACAGATGCTGGCTTTGAAATTTGAGCTGGTAACAATCATGATAGTCCTTTTCCTCTTTAGCCCAGAGGACAAGACGTCCATGATGGACTCGTCAGACCACAGCACACTTTTCCACTTTGTGTTGGTCCATTTTAGATGAGCTCAGGCTCAGAGAAGTCGGCCATGTTTCTGGATGTTGTTGATATATAGCTTTCACTTAACCTTATGGAGTCTTAACCTGCATTTGTCGATGCATTGACGAACTGTGTTCACCAACAGTGGTTTTCTAAAGTGTTCCTGAGCCCATGTAGCAACATCCTTTATACAGTCATGTCGGTTTTAAAAGCAGTGTAGCCTGAGGGGTCAAAGGTCACAGGCTCTCAGTGTTGGTTTTCAGCCTTGCCTCTTACATGCAGAGATTTCTCAGGATTCTCTGAATCTTTTGATGATATTATGGATTGTAGATGGTGATTTTCCCAACTTTTTTTGGAACATGTTGCAGGCATCAAATTCAGAATAAGTATGAATTTTACAAAAAGTAGTAAAGTCTATCAGTTTGAACATTAAATATTTTGTCTTTGTGCTGTATTTAATTGAATATAGGTCAAAAAAGATTTGCAAATCATTGCATTCTGTTTTTATTCATGTTTTACACAGCGTCCCAAAATATTAATATGAAATAGAAAAAGCACTTTACATCCCATATAAGGAAGTGTGTCCTGTGTAGTAATAATAACTTGTAGTACTGATTTTGAGTCAACGTATATTATTACATATAGAAGCTATTAAAAGAAAACATGTTTTTTTAATAAGAAATCATACATTTTTCCATAAATGTATTGGTATATAATAGACAAAGCCCCAAAATCCCTCATTAGGAAGTGTGTCCTGTGTGGTGTTATTATAACTGTTTTTGATTCTTTGCCTAATTTGTCAATACAGACCTTCATTTAATCAGCCACCTATCATCGCCCTGTCACTCAAGCTCAAACATGTTGCATTATAGATTATAACCACAAGAGAGCAGTCTGTACTAGCTTTGGTTCCACTGCCTCAGGGTGAACATCAGCCTGTGATATCAGCTAACTGCAGCTCCACCAGAGGAAGAAGACATTGTAAGAGCGGGGAGGCAGGAATCTGCTGAGCTGCATGCAAAGATAAACCAGTAAAATACCAGTGCCATTCTTTCTCATACGAGTGCTCATGTTCCCTTTAAAAACAACCACAGTAATGCTACCAGTTGTTAGTGTTGGGGTTTGGATGGGCATACAGTAGGCAATGACATTATGGAGCTACTGTTGTAATGTTTAGGCTACGTACTGTGACTTTACACAAGAACCCTTATGCACAGATATTGTCACAATAAGAAATTGGATTAGCACAACGCAACTTTCCGTCCCTGCAGATATTTTGTTTCATGAGAATTTATCTGGTTGTACTTGTTATTCCACCAGGACAACAGGATTTAAGTAAAGCTGAGCTGTCACACCGCCTGTTCACAGATAGCCCAGTGGTTTTACAATTGGATTATGCAACACAGACATATAACTTCTCACACAGAACTTCTTTTTCTCCCTCCTCTCACACTTCATACTTGAGTTGTGGAGTACAGAGTTGCTGAGAGAGCTCTTTGATCCAGAGAGGCCGAGGCAAAGCTACAGTACGTGTGACCAAGTGATTTATTGTCCTCTCAGGACCTCTAAAGCGCCACCCGCTCTGCAGTTTTGAAACATCAATTTATGACTTCAAAATTCAATGTGAGACCACACTCCCGGGGCCGACGAGCCTCCCGTCTCCCTGTTTCCGTAATGTTCAGAGAGAGAGATAGCCTCAGATGAAATATTAATATGTCTCTGCCCTGGCTGGCACCCGTAAGACCTCATGGACTTGGAGTTGAACTTTGGGAAGTTTTTGAGCTGTGGGTACAACCCGCGTCCTTCACTATTAACTTCCACACTGCTTTCATACGACAGAACATTTGTTTGTTTTTTTTTATCACACATCAGTGATGCTGACTGACGTTTATTTTGATGCACTCACCGTGTAAAGCTTTTGACAGATAATAGAGCGCTAAAGATGCGATCTAGATACGGAGGCAGCTACAGATGGAGAGAACAGGAATGAAAAGACTTGGAGGATTTCTATCAGCAGTCTGTGCTACCTTGCAAGACTTAATCACTCCCAGTAATCAGAAGTCATTTTGTGGTGCTTTGTAAAACGACTTCTACATGGGAGCCTGGCTTGAAAAGTGGAAGCAGGTTTCGGTTCCGACCACAAACTAAAAGTACTCTTCTCCTTATTCTTCACCAAAGGTCCCTGAAGTGGTTTGCAGACTCAGAGACAATGACCTAATGTGTTATGCTGCTCTTTTGTACTTACTCACAATATTTCCTGGCCCGGAGACTCCATTACTCCGCTGCCCTTGAGGAATGTAACTTAGGAATGTAATGTTCCTTTCCACCCTTGTTTTCATCTGCACAACATAATTGGGCCAGTTTGGAGCCTTTGTAAATTTCACAAATGGTTACAAAGTCAATGAGGTGGTGGCTGGAGACAGGAGGTTTTGCAATTTCAGCCAACAGTTTGTCCCTCCCAAGCCCAAATTACCTTTTCCAGGCTGCCCACTTCTTCCTTCCTGCTGACTTCTCATCCGAGGAAACATGGTTGTCTTTCACAGCCTTTAAAGTCTCCCTCCAGACACGCATGTAAAAATACTCTGCTATGAATATATTTAGTTTAACATGGTTTTCCCACATAAAATGTAAAAAAGAATAACTCTGAAAAGAGGTTGGAAGCAGATCTACTCTTTCGCCCTCACTGAGAAATTCTGGATCTGGCCTCTGCCTCGCCCACTGCCACTGCATGCGGTAGGTTTCACTTTCTGCTTTCTCTAATGCTGGCGCAGGGCTAAAATTTTGGCTCAATGACTGTAAATAAAGATGGACACCATGTCTCAACTCCCTCCCACTGTACAAGGAAGATATAAAAGAAGGAACAGTCATGGCGACAGTGACATCGTTTGAGGCGCCAGACTTTGGTGTCATGTCTATTGGAATCAATGGAATGCACTCTGCAAATCACAATTTAACCCATCACATCTTTGTTGCCTCAACTTTGACTGAAAAATCCTTCCACCTGATTTAAAGAAATACACATTAGGTAATGCTTACTGACGTTTTTGTATCTAAATATGCACGTTCATTTGGCTTTTATTGGTCTCCAAACAGATCATGCCTCTGTACAGCAGAGGCTGAGATGCAGCTGACTGTCAGAGACAATTAATGTGTATATTTGGAGGGGTAACATAGAATGGGGCAGGGTTTATGAGCTATACTGCAGCCAGTCAGAGGGCAA